GGATTACTTTGGTCAACGTGCTGTGGAAGATCTAAGTTGGGCTACTCGCGGACTACTTTGGTGAGTGTGCTGTGGAAGGGCTAAGCTACTCAGGGACCACTTTGGTGAGTGTGCTGTGGAAAAGCTAAGTTGGGCTACTCAGAGACCACTTCGTGAGTGTGCTATAGAAGAGCTAAGTTGGGCGACCGGGCGTACTGAAGTCCGAAGTTCTAAAAACCTAACAACCGACAGGCCTACGGGTGAGAAAAACGCAGCTTTTGTTGGCTTGATAAGTACATTGCAACTCTACAACTACCTTGGAATCACTTTGGTAAATGTGCTGTGGAGAAGCTAAGTTGCGCTACTAAGAACTGTGGTTGCTGTGGAAGAGCTAAGATGAGCTACTTAGAAATCAGTTTGTGAATTTGCTGTGGAAAAGCTAGGTTTAGCTACTCAGGGATCAGATTGGTGAATGTGGTGTCAATACTTAGAGGTCATTTTGGTGAATGTGCTGTGGAAGTGCTACGTTGAACTACTCAGGGATTACTTTGGTGAACCAGGATCACTTTGGCGAGCGTGCTGTGGAAGAGTTAAGTTGATCTAGTCAGAGATTACTTTTGTGAGTGTGCTGTCAAATAGCTACGTTGAACTACTCAGGGACTACTTTGGTGAACAGGGACCACTTTGGTGAGTGTGCTGTGGAAGAGCTACTTTGGGCTACTCAGGGACCACTTTGGCCAGTGTGCTGTGGAAGAGCTAAGTTGCGCTACTCAGGGGCCACTTTGGCCAGTGTGCTGTGGAAGAGCTAAGTTGCGCTACTCAGGGGCCACTTTGGCCAGTGTGCTGTGGAAGAGCTACTTTGGGCTACTCAGGGACCACTTTGGTGAGTGTGCTGTGGAAGAGCTACTGTTGGCTACTCTGGGACCACTTTGGCCAGTGTGCTGTGGAAGATCTAAGTTGGGCTATTCAGGGACCACTTTGGCCAGTATGCTGTGGAAGAGCTAAGTTGCGCTACTCAGGGACCACTTTGGCCAGTGTGCTGTGGAAAAGCTAAGTTGCGCTAGTCAGGGACCTCTTTGGCCAGAAGTTGGGCTACTCAGGGACCACTTTGGCCAGTGTGCTGTGGAAGAGCTACTTTGGGCTATTCAGGGGCCACTTTGGTGAGTGTGCTGTGCCACTTTGGCCAATGTGCTATGGAAGAGCTAAGTTGCGCTACTCAGGGACCACTTTGGCCAGTGTGTTGTGGAAGAGCTAAGTTGGGCTACCGGGCGTGCTGAAGTCCAAAGTTCTAAAAATCTAACAACCCCACAGTCCTACGGGTGGGGAAAAATCTGAGCATCCACACGCAAGTTGTGAAGTGCTCTGTCAGTAGCTTCGCCCGTGCCAACGGCAACAGCCGCCACCGAAAAAAAAATAAATAACATAACGGCTTGATAAGTACATTACAACTCTACAACTATCCTGGGATCACTTCGGCAAATGTGCTGTGGAAGAGCTACGTTGCGCTACTCAGGAATCACTTTGGCCAGTGTGCTGTGGAAGAGCTAAGTTGCGCTACTCAG